TGACATATGCAAGCAAATAGGAGTCACAGGGCCGGAGTCTCACGTGCGTCTGGATTGTGTTTAGCGGCTTAGGCAAAAGGGTCAACGTTGAATATGTTGATTTTGAGATCAGAGGTCGTTACTGTTCCGACTCATTCACTATCCAAAGTGCTAGGGCCATCAACAACTTAGGGTTGTCAAAACAAACAGTGCGATGTGATAGTATCAAAAAATTACCACATTTAGCAGACTTAGTGGATGTTCTCTGTTTTGATAGTGGCGAACCTAAGCTTATCATTGGCATTGATAATTGGCATCTAACTATCTCCAAATCTACACGGAAGGGTACTAGGTCACAACCAGTTGCAATCAATACCAATCTTGGTTGGGTTTTATTTGGTTTTGAGTCTAGTAAGACCAAACCTGTAGACATCATGTATAATATTAACGTTTTTAGATAATTTTTACTCAGAATTGTTAACAAACGATTTTGATAATTTAGATTCGCTCATTCAAAATTATTAAAAACTAGACTCTCTCGGAATCAGTAAAAAAGAATGTTTGAGTAAGAATGATGCCACAGCTGTCAGGATTCTGGACGACACTACCCGTCGATTACCCGATGGCAAGTTTGAGGTAGGTCTCCCTTGGAAGGACGATAAGTTTGAAGTTCCTGACAGCTTCGGTCTTGCTGTGTCTAGGTTCAAAAGCCTTGAGCGTAAAATGAGCAAAGATTCTGAATATGCTAAACTTTATAAATTAAATATTCAGGCTATGTTGGACAAGAATTATGCTGAGGGTCCCGTCGATGAAAATAGCTCTGGTTCTAGGTGTTGGTATCTACCACACTTCGGAGTTACAAACCCCAACAAACCCGGTAAACTTCGCATCGTGCATGACGCAGCTGCAAAGTCTAACGGTGTCAGCCTCAATTCTATGTTATTGACGGGACCTGATCTTCTTAATTCGATTTTAGATATTTTATTTCGTTTTCGAGAGGGCAAAGTTGGACTCTCTGCTGATATAAGGGAAATGTTCCCACAAGTCAAAATCCGAGGGGAGGATAGGGACGCCCAGCGTTTTGTTTGGCGAGAGTCACCCACCGAACGTCTTAAAATTTTTAGAATGTCCTCTATGATATTTGGTGCGGCATCGAGTCCTTTTTCAGCACAATATGTTAAAAACAGAAACGCTCTAGATTTTCAAAATCAGTTTCCTGAGGCTGTGGACGCTATTCTTCATAACCATTATATGGACGACTGCTTAGTATCCACATCTTCAGCAACTGAAGCAGCGCGGCTAGCCTCTGACATTGTTACCATTCATAAAAACGCTCATTATGAGATGAGGTCTTGGGTATCTAACGACCCAAGAGCTCTATCTCTTTTACCTAAAGAGTTGTTGCTAGATCCATCTTTAGCTAATGAGGAGGTAGATTTAGGTAGAGTACCCAAGTCAGTTAGGACCTTAGGTTTAGTTTGGCAGCCATACGACGACTGCTTTAGTTTTAATTTTAGAGGTTTTTCTGAAAAATTCATCACCAATCATTTCGCAAAGCGCGATGCCCTCTCTCTTATGATGTCTATTTATGATCCATTAGGCTTGCTTGCACCACTCATTGTAAGGGCGAGAATTATGTTTCAAAGTGTTTGGCGTAAAGCTATCGCTTGGCATCATGAACTCACTAAAGAAGATATTTCCGCGTGGAACGAATGGCACAAAGTTTGTCTTGAATCGATAATTACATTAAAAATCCCACGGAGATATAATATTGGTGATATTGAGGCTTGCGAGAGAGAATTGCATATCTTTTGTGATGCAAGTGAATCCGCGTATGCTTCGGTAGCTTATTGGCGGCTCATTTTTCCAGACAGTACAGTTAACGTTGTGCTTATTAGCAGCAAGGTTAGAGTCGCGCCATTAAAACCAGCATCCATACCGAGATTAGAATTGCAAGGTGCTTTGGTTGCAGCTCGACTCGCCGATACAATTTGCTCACAAACTCAAAGCGTGCAAACGGGTCTTTTGGTGTGATTCTATGAACGTCATAGGATGGCTACGCAACGACGCTCGCAATTTCAAGCCTTTTGTAGCCAATCGTTTAGGTGAAATATTGGAATTGACGAGGGTCGGTGAGTGGCGATGGGTTCCATCAGAAATGAATGTGGCTGATGACGCCACACGTCTCAGTACAGAGAAGTTGTCTATAGAGTCACGCTGGTTCACCGGTCCGAATTTCTTACGCTCAAATGAGTCGTGGCCAGTAGAACCAACTGTTAAAATACCGGCCGCTAGTCATGCCGAGCTGAAACCGAAGTACAGGAACATTTGTCATGCAATCACTGACTTACCATCTCATCCATTAGCACCAGTATCAGCCGACCCCAGACGCATCAGTAGATGGTTATGTCTTATTCGCTCCACTGCTTTAGCCCATCTATTTGCTAGAAAGGTCGCAAGTAGGCGCAGTAGAGTAGGCAGTACAAACTTAACCACTTCTTCTTTAACAGCGTGTGACCTGCTAGTAACTGAGAACCACGTTTTGTGGCAAAGCCAATTAGACTCATTCAAAACAGAGAGAGAGTGCCTAGAGAGAGAGATGCCACTGCCTCGCAACAGTAAGTTATACAACCTGTCTCCCAAAATCGGCGAAGATAACTTACTCCGACTATCCGGACGTATTAGCGCTGTAGCGGAAGTTGGTGCATCCACCAAGTCGCCAATAATCCTGGATGGAAAACATGCTGCCGTTCGCCTTCTAGTACATCGCTATCACCAAAAGGTTGCTCATGCCAATACAGAGACGGTCGTCAACGAACTACGCCAAATCTACTGGATCATTCATTTGAGAAGCACAGTCAGAACAGTCGCCAACAATTGTTTATTCTGTAAGCACAGAAAAGCTAAGCCGTACAACCCTCCCGTCGGGCAGCTTCCTCCAGCACGGCTAGCACACGGCGAGAGGCCATTTTCCTACACCGGGTTGGACTACTTCGGCCCTGTCTCAGTCACCGTTGGTCGCCGAAGTGAAAAGCGGTATATAGCTCTCTACACCTGCCTGGTCACTCGAGGAGTTCATTTGGAGGTAGTCCACAGTTTGTCTACCGACGCAGCCATGATGAGCCTGCGGAGATTTATAGCTCGAAGAGGATGCCCGCGTCAGATATACTCGGATAATGGTACGGCGTTCGTAGGCCTTAACCGAGAATTGAAAAAGTTGTACGGCGAGCCTATTGCAAATTTCGCTGCGAATGAAATGATCCAGTGGAGATTCATACCGCCTGCTGCTCCATTCATGGGTGGAGCATGGGAACGATTAGTGCGAAGCATTAAGACAGCGCTAAAAGTCACCCTAAAAGAAAAGTCGCCGTCAGATGAGGTGCTCTCAACGCTCCTTTTAGAAGCAGAAGCGGTGGTGAACAGCAGACCCCTTACACACGTGTCTTCTGACCCAGACCATCCCGAGGCCTTGACCCCATTCCATTTCCTTATTGGAACCTCTTTTCTTGGGAAGAATGTGCCATCTAACTTGGATGACAGCGACCTCTGTGGGAGAACCAGATGGAAGAAAGCAGCTAGGATGGCCGATCAATTCTGGCGACGGTGGTTACTGGAGTACTTGCCACTGCTAACCCCTTCTAGGGGTACTGGTCAGCAGCCATTGGTTGCAGTGGGGGACATGGTGCTTATAGCAGATGGAAATCTTCCACGAGGCATGTGGCCCAAAGGCAGAATCACTCATTTGTATCGAGGCATTGATGGGGTACCTCGTGTTGCTGACGTGACAACTACCTGCGGGCAACTTAAGAGGCCCCTTAAGAAGCTGGTGCCTCTCACCTAAAAAAGGGGAGGATGTTGCTGATCCAACCTATCAGCCTTTTTAGATATATTTATGTATTTTTTGATAATATATTGTTTATTGCTCTTGGTGTCATGAAGACGTGTTTTACTTCTCTCCCGTTTTTCTTCCCTTTGATTCCCGTTAAAATTAGAGCTATCGGTAACAGGAATATTAAATAATTTTAGATCTCGATTTATCGAGTACTGCTGCTTTGGTAATGGATTATTGTGACCCGTTAGTTCCCTTGGATCCTCACCACAAAGCCATTTTAATTAACTTCGCGATTCATAATTGCTCATATTTACAATGGGCAAAGATACATAAACGTATTTTTAATAAGGGTGATTATAATGAAATTAACTTACAAATTGAGCGTATTGATTGGCAAGCAGAATTCATGACCAAGGACATGAATGAAGCTGTTACTTTTTTCATTTCAACTGTTAATAATCTAATCGCCATTTTTTTTACATTTAGAAATTTGTCGCAATAACAACTACCCCTTGGTTTTCAGCATCTTTAAAAAAAGCTATTAAAGAAAAACATAAATTTTATACAAGACGAAGAAGATATATAAAAAATATTCTGACTTGTATACTTACAAATTATTAAGAGAAAGGGTTAAACGGTTAGAATCTGAGTGCTATCAAAAATATATTTTATCTGTCGAAAATTCAATTAAAGTTAATCCCAAAATTTTTTGGTCATTTGTCCAGTAAAGTATAAGATAAAAGTATAAACATTTCTGTTTTTTAAACGTGGAGATCTGTAATAGGCAATCTATAACATTTTTTTGTCAACTGTGTATGTTTTTATGAGTTGTTGGTCTCCCAAAAATTAAGTAAATAAATATGGAATAGAATTAACATATAGCCTGCGATAGTGAAAGTTAAGCAACTTTCACAACGGTCGGTTATTGGATGGGTGACCGAAAAGCTTAATATCCTGAGCTCCTCCGTGCTTCAGAGAACACTTAAAGCTGTTTGTCCCGGCTGCAACTACGTCAACTACTGTCGTTAGCACCAACCATTCCGCACTGGGCACAATCTTCTTAAACCATCTGGCCTGTGCTTCAGCAGTGGGGACATTAATAGGCTGTGATGATGATGAGTGCAAATAAATAAAAATAATAAATCTTGTATATAATCACTTGTCTACATTTTAAAATTAATGAAACAAATCAAAGTTATTTTTTGTTTATTGTTTATAATGACTGATACAGATACAATTTCATATGCCTTGCTTAACAGACTTGATCTCGACGGTCTTGTAAACGAACACGAACCAGAAAAGACCGGAGGCTAAGTAGAACAATTGGAGGGGGGCATCGATGACACCGTATGAAGGGTCCAAGAAGTAAGCCAGCAGAACTATCAGGGTGCATCTGGTCATCTCGAAGGCAGGCGCTCGGGGCGATGCGTCTAGTATCATACCGAACACTGTTAGCGACCCCATGATGTAGAGGACAAGTGTGAATACCGTGAGCGGCGGCATTGTCTGAAAAAGAACAAAACACTATCATGTAAATTACTGCTTTTTTGTTTTTCAAAGAAACGGTGTTCTCCCATAAAATAGATAGTAGCTGAAAGGATTACTCTAGATATGCTCGAAAACAATAGGGGTGATGACGGGGTACAGTAAACGAAATTATATTTAGTCCGTCAGTTAGATGATCAAAAAATAATGGACAGATATTTTTTCTTTGGACAATCAACCAAAAAATCACAAAGTTATAGCGAGTCAAAGTTTGGGAGTAGGGGCTCGTGACGTCACTTTTAAGTGAAAATTGTACCAAAACGTGACGTCATGCGACTTTTCAAATCAATATATCTCTGCAATGTTTATATTATGTGAAAAAAGAAAAAAATACATGTCCAATATTTTTTGAAAATCTACCTGATAAACGAAGAGAAAAAATTAGTCATCACCCTATTACCCAAGTGAAGCATCTTACGAATCCCAAATTGTCCGAAACCTGTCCAAAAGGTACATTGGACGAACCACGGAGCCCCGTAAGATGATCGAGTAGTCAAAAACAATAGGAGGCATTTATTAAACATTGAAAGTCAACTTTATCAAGTAAATTCAACTGTATAAGGTCTTAATTACAACGCATGCGTCAAAGAGCTATGGCAGTTCAAAATGGAAGCTCGTAAAATACGACTTATGTTTATTTCTTTGACTCTACGCGCAATTTTGAATACACTGTTATTAATATAGCAGGTACGGACCGCGAGAAAATGAGACAGCTATATTACCGATCATGCATTTTAATATCACAAATATTTTCTATTAAATCTGTTTATAGTAAGTATTACAACAAACTTTGCTTCAAATGCGTTAAATTAACAAACATTGATTGATTGGGTATCTGTCAAAAAAACGACACTACCGTAAGTATTTTTTCCGCATTTTTTCACGGAGCTCTGCTGCGGCAGCTTGACTTTTCAACGGTCCGCGCGTGACTATGAGTCAAGAAGTGCTTGAGTGATGTTCAAGCACTTCTTGATTGGGACACATTTTGAGCGCACGTGGTGTATCTAGGGTATTTAATATTGTTGGCGTAAATAACATAAATTAGATTTCTTTTTAACATGAGAAATGTGACAGTGAAAACTATTCTATATTTCTCTTGTATTCTTCCTTCTATGTAATGCCTTCCTGCTAAATATAAAACAGTAGCTGGCTAAATTTCAAGCTTATAACATCATGGCTAATTATTTTATTTGGGACAAAAAGCCTATCAGTTATATCAGTGTTACTGGCACTAGTACTCTTTAAAATCAATATGATTAAGTTTAAATGGAAACAATTTCAAAAATTCCAAAACAAACAAGAAATAGGCGCCGTTTACCGAACGTTTGACATTAAAATTTGAATAATGTCTTCCATGTTTGGAGAACATATCGTGGAAGAAAGCCATCAATTGATAAAATTGGGAATCAGAAACTGTGTGATTGTCAATTGTCTTGCCCTCTCACCTCGGGCGGTGTAATATTTACCCTCAAATATTGACTTGGAGAACCAAAATAGGGGTTGTTTGTTTATTGTTGAACCGATGTATGTGTACGAGTATATTTTATATGAGATGTTATTGTTTGTTTATCATTTAATGAATAGGCAAATTCATCGAAAAGCATTTTATTTTTGTATGTTAAACCAATGTATTTTATTGTGCTAAAGGAGCATGTTCGTTTTATTGGACCGTTTTTTGTTACTTGGTTTTGTTGATATTGAATATAGTAGAGCATTAAGAGAATCGCTCAAAAAACAACATGAAATAAGAATAATAATAATAAAAAAATCCAGCACTCACACCAATTAGCTATACCCTATAGTAAGCACTGTAGGTTTTTGTTTAGGGATACTAGGTAACGGATGGAATACATATATAAGTATATTTATATAGAAATACATATTAAAAATCCACGACTGGAGTACAAATGCTCGTATTCATCAAACTAACATCTACCCTCACCGGGATTCGAACCCGAGACCTCTCGAGTCGGCGACACCTTGAAACCTGGCGCATATACCACTCGGCCACGGAGGTCATCAATTTACATCATATCACGTCTTTCTCACTGTCAAATTTCATAGTGATTTGACAACTGAGCGTGATAAAAACGCCTTATATATCATATCGCGGTACTCAAGCTAGGGCGGCAGGTGAAACTTTTAAAGGGTTTTACAAAGCCTCAATTTTTTTTCTGGTTTATCATAAGTGGAAAGTCCTTTCTCGGCTGGAAATCGAACCCCAACCGCCCACGTAGGATACGAGCTTTCTACTACTGAACCATCGACTATTGTTGATATTGTTTAAAAGGTTAAGTTAGGAATAACTGATGCTGGAACTGCACTTCTCAAACACATTTTTGATATATGGGAGAGTAAGCACGATGCTATTGGCATTTTTTGCGATTTATCTAAGGCGTTTGACTGCGTTAGCCATGAAACATTGGTAAATAAAATGAAGCATTATGGTGTATCAAATATTTCACTAAGTCTGATACAGTCTTATCTTTCTGCTAGGATTCAGAAAGTAGTTATAAATGAAGCTGAGTCTACAGGAGCACCCATTTCTATGGGCCTGCCCCAGGGTTCAATATTGGGCCCATTGCTTTTCCTTATTTATATTAATGACCTTCCTCATTTTACAAGAGATTTGTGTGAGACAGTACTATTTGCTGATGACACCTCTTTAGTGTTTAAAGCTAGAAGAGGAAATGATTGTTATGACGAAGTAAATTGTGCTCTCACTGAAGTCCTTCACTGGTTTACGGTAAATAATTTAAAACTAAACTCTAGCAAAACAAAATGTGTTAAGTTTACTTTACCTAATGTGAGGCAGGTTAACATTAGTTTAAAAATAAATGACCAGCCTGTAGAGTTAGTAGATACTACAAAGTTTCTGGGTATTACTTTAGACTCGCATCTGCAATGGGATCCTCATATTGATGCCTTATCAAGTAGACTGAGCTCTGCGGCCTTCGCTGTTAAAAAAATAAGACTCCTAACTGATGTGGAAACGGCAAGAATGGTTTACTTTGGTTACTTTCATAGCGTTATGTCATATGGCCTTTTGTTGTGGGGCTCAGTTGCTAATATAGAAAGTATTTTTGTACTGCAAAAGAGAGCTGTTCGCACCATATATAATTTAAAGGCAAGAGAATCTCTTAGAGATTTTTTTTTATTTTTAAATTATAAGAAATTAATATTTTAACACTGGCATCGCAATACATCTATGAAAATATAATATATGTAAGAATAAACTATGACGCATTTGCAAAAAAAGTCAAACCCATAACTTTAACACGAGATTTAAGAACAAGCTTGCCGTTCCATGTTTCAGACTCCAAAAATCAAGAGGTTCATTTCTGGGATGTAGTATTGCATTGTTTAACAAAGTTCCCCAAGATCTGATTGAGCTTCCACTAACCAAATTTAAATCTCAGATTAAGAATACTCTTATGAATAAGGGCTATTATAAAGTTAATGATTATCTAAATGATCGTAATGCATGGACATAGTGTTTCTTGTAATTTCTTATTTGATGGGTATGAGTCAGTTTTGTAACAGTAGTATGGTACCTATCTAATGCCGCTTCCTATATACTAAATATAAAATTTGTTGTAACTATATATCTATACCCTAAATAATGTAATGGAAGGTGACTTCAGAAGTATGTCTGAAGTCATTTTTCAACTTGACGACTCTGTATATATCAATACAGGGAGAAAAAAGCAGCCCTTGCTGAGTTTCTTGCCGGTTCTTCTCAGTACAAGGTCTCCCGCCGTAGTTTTGCGAACCGATGGCGTAGCTTCTTGACTTTCACAAGTGCTTGTAACAGACTAGACTGAATAAATGACTTTTCATTTCATTTCATTTCGTTTCGTTTCGTTTCGTTTCGTTTCGTTTTGTTTCGTTTCGTTTCGTTTCGTTTCGTTTCATTTCATTTCAATACTACTAAAGGTTAAGTTAGGAGCAAGGAAATGGGATAAGACGTCATAAGATGGATAAGGAATAACCCGAAATTTTATAAAAGTATTTATGTTTACCTGCAAATAAAGCGGGTTGAAGGACGGCTCTTTGTATTGTCAGATTTTCTAAAGATTAAGTTCTTGTGACTCAATGGGAGAAAAATTTCGAAGTATGTCAGGTCTATAACTTTCTGTTAAGGACGTTGTTACCAAGTGAATAGTAAACATATGATGGAAACCGTAGAGAAGTAGAGCGTAATGTGTGAGCAGGTAGAATGAACAATTGTGATTAAGTGTCTGACGATGGAATAAAAGTTTCGAAGTATGTCAGTTATGTAACTTTCTGATAAGGAAGTTCTTACCAAGTGAATAGTGAACAGATGATGGAAACCGTAGAGAAGAAGAGCGTAATGTGTGAGCAGGTAGACTGCACTAAAGGCCGCTGCATACGTGACGAGTAAATACTTCGGACGGGACATGAGCGGGATGGGCACGTGATTATCTCGTTCAAAACGGGAACGTGGTACAAACGCATACGTACCGTGATAGTGATTCGGATCTAACGTGTATGTATAATGATTGGAAATGTAATTTTATAATTTTATATTATGGATCAACGCGTCATTACAGATCTGTTCGGAATGAGCAGAACAGAGCGACTGTGCTATGCATACGTAGCGAAACCACGAGCGGGAAGGGGCACAGACAGGGCGTGACGGGACGGGGACGTGCTAAACATCGTCCGCGACGATATTTTTCCCGTCCACGTTCCCGCCCCGTCCATGTACCCGTGACATATTCGTTTTTGGATACATTGTGTATGAAACGATGTTTCCAAAACTTCCCGTCCCGTCCCGTCTCGTCCGGATAAAAACTCGTCACGTATGCAGCGGCCTTAAGTGTCTAGCGATGGAATAAAAATCGAAGTATGTCAGTTATATAACTTTCTGATGAGGACGTTCTTACCAAGTGAATAGTGAACAGGTGATGGAAACCGTAGAGAATTAGAGCGTAATGTGTGAGCAGGTAGACTGAGCACCATCTCGGCAGTATGACGTCATACTTAATCCTCGTGTGGATCGCCGGCTGTAAAATGAAAACAGACTTCATTTAGTACTAATAGGATACAATTTTTATTTTTTAAGCATGTAACTGCGCAATTTTAAAAAAATAAAAAATTTTGTTTTTAATAAACAAAATATTACTAGAAAAAAAAAGTTTTAACTATAATTGCTATTTCTTCTTCCAAATGTTTAATACTTGTAAAGGTATTATATTGTACATTTGACATTGTGGGTTACCTAAAATGCGAAGAAATGACGCTGCCTTGCAGCTTAATTAAACATTTGAATAACAACTGGGACAAATAGCATAACCATTGGACCACTAGTGAGACACGATTTTTTTCGTTTACTTAACAGTATCGACACCCAGTTAATGTTAACTTACATCTTCAGCCATGTCTTTGAATCGCACAGCGTTGACAGGGTTCCAGCTGGGCCTGCTGAACACAGCTCTTAGTTTATGGACCCAGTTGTCGTAGCCCCGGAATCTGCTTACTACATATCCAGTGTAGAAAGTCTGTAATATATATAAGCATTATAAATTAATAACTAGCGGCCCGCCCTCGCTTCGCTTCGGTGTAGAGCTTAAGTGTAGACTACAGTTTTTGTTCTCAGGTTTGTATTATACACAATGACATTCATCTATGATTCTTCTTATACCTGCATGCAAAATCTCAGCCCGATCGGTTTAAAATTGACATAGTTTGATACAAACTTTCATTCCCTATTTTATCCCCTTGGGGGTGGAATTGATCGAAATCCTTTCTTAGCGGATGCCTACGTCATAATATCTACCAGCATGCCAAATTTCAGCCCGATCTGTCCAGTGGTTTGGGCTGTGCGTTGATAGATCACTATGTCAGTCAGTCACCTTTGAGTTTTCTATATATAGATAATGTTTGTATGTTATTTATATTCCAAAGCTCTTTGGCATCTTACCTACCGGGCGGTAGGTTCTTAATAAGTACGGACTTTGGACTGTAGACCGGTATATATCAATGATTAATTAAAGCATCTCTTTAATCATCTGGCTACTACTTCAACTCTGTTATTTACTGTAAATTACATTAAGAAAGAAAGGTAAAATACACCCATCAAGGTGCTACTGACTACAGCATGCAGCCGCGATCAACGGCTTAACATGCCTTCTGCAACCCAAGGGAAAAAAATATGTTTTGGCCACCCGTAATTTCACAGGCCATATCGATTCTTCCGTCATCGCAGATTGTATGCTAACCATTGCACCATCAAGCTCCAGCTGATATGACTTCTTTGGTAACATCAGCCTTGGTTAGGGTATTTGACAGTATTAAAAATTAAGTGCCAATTGTTAGCATCTGTGTTTAGAATGAATATTGGCAGGGGATTTTACTATTTTTACAAAAAAAATATTCATAATTTTACTAAAAACTCACGAAAAAGATAATAGATTTCTTATCTTCAAAACGCTTGGGATTGGCGGAGCCTAAAATGACGTCACACGCAAGTAAACTTCCGGTTAAAGTGACATTACATTGTATCGTTTGACGTATTAATAACAGTCGTGTGACGTCACACACTAGTAAGACGCTATATTGTCCATAGAAACGTTTCCGCGGCAACTTGAAAATGGAGTGGACGACAGAATGATGAATATCCACTTTTTACGGACTCCATAAACATTAGTCAATAACGTGAGATCGTTTTCTAAAACTTGTCAAATACCCTATTGAGTTGAATTAAGAAAATATAGGTATCAAAAATTAATCTACGAAGGTTAAGTTAGGAATACTGCTTTGAGATGAGTAAGGAAATGGGGTAAGATGTCATCCGATGGATACTAAGTATTTATGTTTACCTGCAAATGAAGCGGGTTGAAGGATGGCTGGTTGTATATGAGCCCGTAGACAATTTTATCACCTTCCTTCTCTGGTCGGAATGTTCCGAAAAGTTTGTCCCAGATTATCAGAACTCCACCGTAGTTCACGTCTATGCAGTAAGGGTTACTGCCTGCAAACAATAAAAGAATCATAAAAGGAAACATATATATAAAGTTAATAAATACGTAGTGCAGGTATGAAAGATGGAACAGAAAGAGCGAGATAAATATACATCATATTTATTTTTTAGGTTTTCACGCACATCACTCATTAAATAAAACTACTTTTAACGGGTTAATGCACGAAACTTTATTTATTTATTGACATTGACAAAATAAGAAGGAGATAAAAAGCCTCTCTGAGTTTGTTTCGCCGGTTCTTCTAAGAAAGGTCTCCCAATTTTAGAACCGGTGGTAGTTTACGGTAGTTAGGGTCAAATAAATAAACTCAAATTTACAAAAATTTTTTTTTAATAAAGTACTTTATTAACTAAATTAACTGATAAATTAATACATAGACAATAAAATTTTAAAAATCTACCAATGAAATGAGCGTTCGGTCTCAATAAAAGTCTTTCGAAGGTAGCTCGACAAAATTAAATACAAAAATCATTATTCTGACGATGCAGACCTGAAAAGGCTGCGAAACGTCAATAAATAAATAAAGTTTCGTGCATTAACCCGTTAAAACCAGTTTTAATTAAAATATACATCAGTTCTAAGTCAATCAACCCTCCTAAATTATTTGATAGATCCATTAAGATTATTTTATTTGCATTTCTGATGATGAAATCTATAGATGTTAAAGAATTCCTTTAACAAATATTTTGCCATTATCCTTTCGGTCGTAATACTATTTTTATTATGTATCATATATAGGAGCATTACCAAATATTACTGTAAATATATCCGTTGTTAATACAAACAATATGTCTGTAACAAAATATTTGTATTGTGGTGAGAATAAATAAACATTATTATTATATAAAGGAGTTTTTTTCCATTTCTTTACTACGTACATCACTATCGAGTGCGCACCGCCGACTTAAGTCCGCCGTCTGAGAACAGCCTATCTTAGTCCACTACTGGACATAGGCCTCTCCAAAGGCACGCCACTCAGTGAAGTTGATTAGCTATTAACTCACGGATAAGCAAGTTGAAGTGGCAGTGGGCTGGCCATATTTGCCGGAGAACCGATAACCGTTGGGGTAGACGAGTTCTGGAGTGGAGACCGCGTCTAGCCAAACGTAGTGTAGGACGTCCTCAGGCACGATGGAGTGACGATTTGCGCAAGGTGGCTGGCAGGAGCTGCATGCGAGTAGCCCAAGATCGATCTGAGTGGCCTCTTGTCACATATGTTTAATTTTTTTTGCGGACTCTCGCGTACTTTTGGTCTATCTGGACCCTCGGTGTCCGCGGTAGTTCGGCGGACTTTGTGTCCACAGCTTGCTTAGCTTGATGTATTTGTAAGCAATCTACTACGGCGGACAAAAATCCCTCGTCTGCGCAGGCTATAAGTGTCCATTATTTTTTGATAATCTAACTGAAGGACTAATCGAATTTCGTTTAATTTACCCCATGATATTCCTCTTTATGTAGTTTAGTAAGAAAAATCTTGATTTTCTTTAATTAAAGATAATAGGTTCTCATTCGACTGATATATGTTCTTGTTAGAATAACTAAAATATATTACTAAAAGGAGTCCCTTTAGGCAAGGTTCCGAAGATACTGGCAGCGTACTACATTCCCCCTTTGAATAGCTAGACTAATTCTTTGTCCGAGGTAGCTGCCAGCTCTTCGGTCTCCGACTCGCCTGTATATTTTTGTATGTTGTCTATATGAATACTTCTTTTCATTCGAATGAGTTTTCTTTCGAAATTGTCTCTTAAAAGGGATCTTGATCTTCATCTGATGAGTGCTTCAACCCGACCTCAAAAATGAGAAGCTTCTTAATTAGACTCTTTGTATTAGAGCAAAGCAAATGGGGTATATTATTACACTGTTAATAATAATACGATATCGTAATATGCCTTATCGCTGTTTCACCGCTACAATTGTGATACTACGATCCAAGTATTGCGATAATATTTATCAATGGAAGACGGAGTATCTTCCATTATTTCCATTTATTAATATTATTCTGAAGCAGTCTCCAAATATTCATAAAACAAATTGACAAAAAAATATTACTCGATTTGTTTGAGACGAACAATATTTGTGCAGTTCCAATCACAATCTCTAGGAAACTCGATACATCGACTTGTCGATAATGGAATTGAAATTGATAGAACCGATGACGGGATATCGATATCTCGTTCTGTAATCAATTGAAAGCCTTCCAAGACTGTGATGTAAGATGAGTTTGAAATAGGATATTTAAAGAACACCGGTCTTTTTCTTAAGGCATTCTCAAGTTTTCTTATTTTGAAATACGTTGTAGTGGTTCCGTACTAAAAAAGGAAATGAAGATACCCTTAGAATCGTTTATAATATGTCTGTTAGGTGTATAAAATAAACATTTATTTCATAAAGGTAATCGGACTGTCTAGCCCATGAATAAATGAATTATTTAATCAGCAAAAAAAGACGAACGATAGTGATTTATCCAGTTCTTTAATTTTAATAGCATGTATCATAATAAAATGGTTAACAAATATTATTATATATCAACAGAAATTTATTGAATAAATATTATATATTGAATAATTAAATATTGAATTACAGAAAAAATTAAGAAAATTAGTAAATTAAAGATATATTAATTATGGCAAATGTCCAAGAATCTCGTTACAAGTTAAATCATTATACTATGTCATGACCCAATCTCCCTATTCCGTCCATAGGGAGGGCCTGTGCCCCAGCAGTGGTGACATGAATAGGCTGATGGTGATGATGATGATTATCTCAAAATCATTGGCAATTTTAATATCAAGGAATTCTTTGACTGAGCAAAAACATTTATTTAATACGAATCCAAACTATTTCTTATTAAATATCCTAATGTTAGCAGGCACAGTGAAAAAAACAAAAGATATACCGCATTATTTTCACCTTTTGACACTCGCAAGTGAAAACTATAGTGTTACCGTAAAATTAAAAAAAATGACTAAAGCGCCTCTAGTCAACGACACTACATTTGACAAATATACCGTGATGGATCCTATGGTGACTCGGTTTGTTCAGGACGAACTCCAGCGGTCCCAGGATCCCAGAACTTGTAGACCTCTACAGCTGAACAGGTGATGTAGCACTTGAAACTTAATACCAATGATGAATCCTGTGGTGACTCGGCGTGTTCAGGATGTACTCCAGCGGTCCCAGAGTCTTGATAGACTCGGTGTGGATCCAGAACTTAGACAGGTAGCAGGTAGGTTGGAGATGCAGCACTTGAAATTTACTACCAATATTATAGATATTAACGGGATTGTTACCATGTACCTTGTTTTTTATGAGTCTCCGATATTTCGGCACTGTTGCAAGCGCCATGATCACGGAGTAACTGAAGTAATTGCGGGTAGATGTTATTGGCAGACATATCGGTCTACCCTCTGACGTCGTCTTTTACTGCGTTCGATACTACCACTACCATTGGTCACATTCTCACTATTCACTCGCATTTGTTCCCGGCACACAATACTCACAGTATCAGATCGCGGAACGACACTTTTTTGATTTTTGCGGTTTTTACACATACGAACCACTGGATTCCACACACTAGACAATTTAAACCCATCCTCACGATTGAAATTCTTGTGTTTGGTTATTTCAATCGCTTCCCTGACCAATCTCGGTATGTAGTGGCGTTCTGTCGAGATAATTTGTGGATTATGGAGCTCAATCCAGTGATTAGGACCCGAATCAATTAAATGTTCCGCGATGGCTGATTTTTGCGTATCATTATTTCTGACTGCTTTAATGTGTTCTTTCATTCGGCATGCTATTGTCCGCTTCGTTTGGCCAATATAAGAACTACCACAGCTGCAGTCGATCTTGTATACACCAGGTTTCTCCAAGGGGAAGTTATCTTTAGGAGACCGTAGAATCTGTGATACTTTTTGTAAAGGAGTGAAGACAGTATTCAGTGAGTACTTATTAAGTATGTTAGAGATCTTGTCTGTCACTCCTTTGACATATGGCAATATCGGAGACTCATAAAAAACAAGGTACATGGTAACAATCCCGTTAATATCTATAATGCTAGTGACCATGAAAGTTTAAAACAATATATTACTACCAATACTCAACAAAACACGTATCGTGATGAATCCTGTGATGACTCGGCGTCTTCAGGATGCACTCCAGCGGTCCTAGGGTCTTAATGGACTCGGTGTGGATCCAGAACTTAGATAGGTAGTTGAACTGGAGATGCAGCAATTGAAACTTACTACCATTACTCAACAACGCTACATTAAAACACGTACCGTGATGAATCCTGTGATGACTCGGCGTGTTCAGGATGTGCTCCAGGGGTCCCAGGCTTTTGATAGACTCGGTGTGGATCCAGAACTTAGATAGGTAGTTGAACTGGAGATGCAGCACTTGAAATTTACTACCAATACTCAACAACGCTACATTAAAACACGTACCGTGATGAATCCTGTGATGACTCGGCGTGTTCAGGATGTACTCCAGCGGACCTAGGGTCTTGATGGACTCAGTGTGGATCCAGAACATGTAGAGGTAGCTGAACTGGTGGTGCAGCACGAACTGAGCCGGCGGGATGGCCAGTGCCAGCGGTACGTAGCACAACTGGCAGATAAAATAAGATCTTATGAGTTTCATGTGAAGACATATATTGTACTAGCGACCCGCCCTCGCTTCGCTTCGGTGTAGAGCTGAAGTGTTGACTACAGTTTTTGTTCTCAGGCTTGTATTATACACAATGACATTCATTTATGATTCTTCTTATACCTGCGTGCAAAGTCTCAGCCCGATCGGTTTAAAATTGACAAAGTTTCATACAAACTTTCATTCCCTATTTTATCCCCTTGGGGTAGAATTGATCAAAATCCTTTCTTAGCGGATGCCTACGTCATAACATCTACCTGCATGCCAAATTTCAGCCCGATCTGTCCAGTGGTTTGGGCTCTGCGTTGATAGATCACTAAGTCAGTCAGTCACCATTGAGTTTTATATATATAGATTGAAGGCATTTAATAAAACACTTTTTAAACGGATATAACGGTTGAAAAAATAAGAAATAAATACCTATGTTAATGAATTTTTCTTTTTATAAAATAATGAAATTATAGATTTTTTTGATGTTACTTATAATGAAAATTATTATAAGGTAGGTTAGTACTTGAAATCCTGAAAATATAATCATTTCATATAATGTTATGTATTATTGAACCTATTTACCTGAGAACAAAAACTATTGTCTACATCGAAGCAAAGCGAGAGCGGGCCACTAGCAATAAATAAAAAGGACATGTCAATACAAAAATAAAAAAACGACGGGTTGTCCAATCCACCGACAGAAGTGAAAACTTGAATATTAACGTTGTGCATTTTTGATATTTTATAATAGTTAGGGAATAATTTTGCACGAATTGCTTTAATTATCAGTATAAAAGTACTATCAAGTGTGTGGTAAAATACAATATTTATTTATTGCGCTATCGTACACAAACATGACAATTTATATAACATTAAAAAAGTTTATCTCTCAGAAAAATCAACTTACATGAATCACGTTTAAGCTCACTTAGCGACATCTATTGTAAAGAAATCAACTTACATAAATCACATTTAAGCGCATCTAGCGACATCTATTGTAAAAAAATGCATTTTCTTCGCAATAAAGCTGCCACGTGGAGGTCCTAGATAGAGACTTATTATTATAGTACGATAAACTAAAATATTACTATGTTTCGTCCAATGTATTGAAAGTTAACAACCTTTTAAAAAGTGTACAACGCCGCTAAAGAAGTTTTCACTTCAAAAAGGGCATATCAATACTTAAATAAAGAATAATATGATAAGTGAGTTGGTAAGTGGGCTGGTGGCCCTAGTTTGTCACAACACCGTGCATTGCGCAGTACTTATTTTTACAATAAATTATCATATTTTGGAGCAGGTATTATAAAAATAAATTGAGGAGCTGGCGAACAAAACGGTATAATTACACATATGGTTTTGACCATATAATATTTTATTTTTACAGCCCGGAGGTTTTCGGCCAGCTGAATTTGAATTTCAACTCATGCCAATCAAAACCGCCTAAAATAGTGTTAAAATTACTAAATTAAAAATTACGCCAAACGCTCACTGTACGTATGTCATTTTCTTCACCAGCTCCTCCATTGATAATTTAAACTAAATATAAATAAATAAATATTTCCAACACTCACACCAATTAGCCTAGCCCCAAAGTAAGCACTATAAGGCTTGTGTTATGGGATACTAGGGTAACGGATAGAATACATATATTTTACATATATAAGTATATTTATATAGAAATACAAACATCCATGAATGGAGTACAAATGCTCGTGTTCATCACACAAACATCTGCCCCCACCGGGATTCGAACCCGGGACCTCTCTAGTCGGCGACGCCATGAAACCCGGCGTACAAACCACTCGGCCACGGAGGTCGTCATCAAACTGACTTGCTATTTAAAATAAAGACTTATCTTACCTAATAAGAAAAAGTTATTTTTATAAATATTTCACCGTTTGGTTTCGTTATATTTTCACTTTATTTAGTGACGTTTTCTCCCGAGACTTGTAGCGTTGTACTCGCGAAGTGCCGTTAACATCCCTTACCTACACTTTTAACGTTTCCCAACATTGCGGAAACTGTACCGTTGTTGCCAAACTTTACCCGCCGCAACCGCCGCGGGAGAAAACTACTCGGAAACATGCTTCAACTTGAAAGTTTCAAAGCTAAAAATACAAACGTGGCTTCATAATGATGTTCTATAAACAATTTTGCAGCGTGCTTCGAAAATTGTTTAGCTAGCAATGGAAAACTCTTGTTGCTAGGTACTTCTGATCAGGCGTGGTTGATTCCCAGTAAGGATCCCATGCCGCCACCTAATACCCGCCATACACACTACGAGAAATCGTTACGATCAGACTGTACAGTTCGAACGGTACAGTTTATACGATTTCGTTTAGTATAGGAAACTGTGCAGTTTTATAACATACACGCTACGATTTATCGGTACCGTTTGGACTGTACAGTCTAATCGTAACTATTTATCGTAGTGTGTATGGCGGGTATAAGGCAAGCAGAGCACATCCCGGAATTTTAGTGGGTAGGACCAGTATTTTCAAGACCAGTAATATTTATAACAGATCAGTATTTTCGTAGTGTGTGGGATTTTTTTAACGGATCCGGAATACTGTATGTGAACTTGCTCATACAAATACAAACGCCATCAAATAACGCACCTATGAAACGAACGGTCATATCTGTATTTAAACGGGACCTGAAAAACTGTATTGTGTGTTAACTTGCATTGCAAAGCGGACCTGTAAAACGAATCATAAGTGTACTCATAAAAATATAATTTTTATTTGAACAGTAAATACTATAACCATAGTGTGACCAGAGCCTGAATTGCGTCTATTTAATTTTATTATGGTTTATCATAATTTATCTTATCATTATGTAAGTCAACACCCAATATAAGATACAAAAACAATTAATTGAACCGTAAGGAGGCCACTTTTCTGTCCTTCCATGAAATAATTTTGCTGTTTTTATATAAATACACAAATCGCTGTTTATTTGGAGTTTGTTTCGTATCTACGGAAATATGGGTTTATTTCAACTTTTCTGTGAATTTTGCTTTACAAAACTGAATATCATAAGCTTTAACGTCCGTTGAGAGATAGTTGAGCGTAAGAAGTTTTTTTTCCATTTCAATGAATCGTATATCTTTTTATTCCTTTCACTTAATAAACAAAGTTTTTAGTCACATTATTAATGGTTATTGCTTCAGTGGTAGAGTATTCAGCTGACCCCTTCGATCAACAATTGACCCAGTACCAAACTAGTTCTAACTTAGAAAAAATTCCATGCGGACTAGGCAGCAGACGGGACTCGAACCCGCACCCTTCTCAATCCGGGCGACTGCACTGACTAATTATGCTACCGCGGCCCTCACGGACCGCGTCGAAATTCTTCTAGCTATTCTTATGCTGTAAGGCAGCGCCATTTCTTCGCATTGTAGGTAACCCACAATGTCAAATGAATACTTTTACAAGTATTAAACATTTGAAAGAAGAAATAGCAATTATAGTTATAATAATAAGCAAGTTATAATAAGCATAAGAATAGCTAGAAGAGTGAGGGCCGCGGTAGCATAATTGGTCAGTGCATTCGCCCGGATTGCGAAGGGTGCGGGTTCGAGTCCCGTCTGCTGCCTGGTCCGCGTGGATTTTTTTTTAATTATATTTTCATTAGATTTAAACATCAAGCAGTTACATGCTTAAAAAATTAAAATTATAGTTCTAACTTTATTAAATACCTGCTTAGATTAAAACAAATTTCATTTAAACGACCTATCAGTAGGTAAATATAGGAAAATTGATATCCCAAAAACAAAACCTTTTTCTCATAACATTTTAATAATACGATAATTCTGTAATCAAAAGATTGTTGCAATATCTTATTATTATTTGGCAAGCAAAATTGTTTGGCAGCTTGAATTATACCAATTAATCGTTCTAACAGGCGTTTTCTACATGAGATGTCATTGTCGTATTCGTATAAATTGCCCAATTAGTCCTGTAATTTTCTTATTATTATTTAAGAGTCAAAAGATTGACTTACAAATCCGCACCAGCCCTGAAGTATAGACTGTCTGATGCCGACACCCATGTTGAAGTCTTCGGAGGTGTGGTGTACTTGGTGCTGTGCCCACAGTATGTGAATCTCTGGAAGCAGATTAGAAGTATATATCTAAAGAAACATTTTTACTACTTATAATAAATTGAAAAAAAAATGATGACATACTTACATATAACTTACATAATGAAGTACCCAACCTTAAGGTGCCTCGCGCACTAGACGGCCACAACACGGCCAGTGGCCGCAACGACCAGATTAACTATAGACAACATACGAACGTCGCGCACTTGGCCGCAACGGCCAACTTTAGTTAATCTGGTCGTTGCGGCCACAGGTCGTGATTGTGGCCGTCCAGTACGCGAGGTGCCTAATACCGTTCACCAGGGCCAGATTTAGATGTGTGGAGGCCCTAGGGCCACGAAGGTGTGGGGGAACCGGTCACTTACGATTTGTGAGTAAAAACGCTATGTTAAATTATACTAACGGGCTGCTAGCAGACATTATGCGGCCCGATAAAAAACACCAGAGCCACTTGTTGAGTAGTGCTGAAAGTAAAGTTTTCGAATATTCTCTAATTTTCTGCCCAACAATTTTTTTCTTTCTATGAAATACTTCTTGATGTATGTATTAAAAAATTTACAACAAAAAATATAGGTTTAAAATCGACGAGGTCGTTCTCAAGTTATGGTGCGACCAGAGGGATTAGGGATTCATCTAATATATAAAATTTTCGTGTCGCGGTGTTTGTGGTTAAACTCCTCCGAAACGGCTTTCCCGATTCTCATGAAATTTTGTGTGCATATTGGGTAGGTCTGAGAATCGGTCAACATCTATTTTTCATCCCCCTAAATGTTGAGGGTAAAGCACACCTAAATTTTTTTTTCAATTTTTTTATTTTTTTTATTTTTTTATGATACATCATACAAAAATACATACAACCCTAAATTTTCACTCTTCTACCACCAACCCCTATTTTTTATGGCGGTACGAAATTCGCTGGGTCATCTAGTTTTAATATAAAGATAATATAACATTAAACACTGACCGTGGCAAGCTCTATGCATCCAATAGTAGCAGAAGTCCACACCCAGGGCAGCAAATAACCACGTGCTGGTGTGATCCCAGGGTAGGTCCACTAGTCTGAAGTGGGTATGCACCCATGTATACAGGTACGCCTCCGCGCCACGCCAGATCAATCTGGAATACATTCATCATCATCATCAGCGTACAATTGTTCCCCCTGCTGGTGGATCTTCGATATGGGAGAATGGGCCAATCCCTTCTCTGTAAATCGGTCCTACTACTGATGCACAGTTCTTCTTGGTGGATGTTATGGCTTACGCATACGAGGGACTTTTCTCAGTGCACTTTTTTTTTGTCTGAATAAATAGTTACAACTGTATCGAGTAATGAACAAGAGGAATTAAAAGATCCGTGTACAAAAAAAAACGACGGGTTGTACTCCGGGAGTGCCGGCAGAAGTGAAAACTTGAATATTAACGTTATGAATTTTTGATATTTTGGAATGGTTAGGGAATAATTTTGCACGAATTGCTTTAATTATATCAGTATAAAAGTACTACCATGTATGTGGTAGAATACAATATTTATTTATTGCGCTATCGTACACAAACATGACAATTTATATTACATTACAAAAGTTTATCTCTCAGAAAAATCAACTTACATGAATCACGTTTAGGCGCACTTAGCGACATCTATTGTTAATAAATCAACTTCCATGAATCACATTTAAGCGCACCTAGCGACATCTATTGTAAATGAAAATGCATTTTTTTCGCAATAAAGATGCTACGTGGACGTCCTAGATGGAGACTTATTATTATAATACGGTAAAATAAAATATTACTATGTTTCGTCCAATATATTGAAAGTCAACGACCTTTCCAATTTTATTGTGTGTCATGAAGCGATCAGCCCACGTGTTTAACCTGACGCGAGTTTAACATTTTTTACCCTTACAAAAAAGTGTACAACGCCGCTAAAGGAGTTTTCACTTCAAAAATTCAAGATGAACTATTAGAAGTTTTACAAGTTGATATACGTTTTTGATTTTATTTTAGTCAACATTTTTTTTTACATCGCCTTAGTTTAATAAAGTAGGATCATCTAAGTAATTATTTCTATTCCTTCTATGTCATTAGCGTTTTCAGAACATCGTTTCTTTTCAGTCTTATTTTTAATTCCACAAAAAGGTTTCAATAATTAACGGGTGGCCTTTCGTTTCGAAGTTAATTTGAGTCAATTTCCCTTTTACTTTTTCTGCCATTATAACGAAGTGAAAAGTTAAGTTTTTTTTGCTTGTATAATAAGCATCTAGAGTTCTTTTTTGTTTGCAAGCGTCGTGATATTTAATTGGCGCCTTAAATTACGCAATTTTAAAATGATTCTTGATCTTACGAAAGTGACAGATGTATTGTAGTAGGTAGGGACCGTTACTAGGACCGTTAATGACTGTCAATATGTCAATAACGTCAAGGGACGATCGTCGGGAGATAATTATTAAAAAAAATGACAATATGATTTGAATAACTTTGTTGCACTGTCAGTGCACTGTCATATAATTTAAAATATGGTTCTTAAAACAATTTGTCGGTCAACTGTGTCAGCAGTTTAGGGTGGGGTGCATCGACTCGGAATGCAAACTTAATAAAATATAATTAAAATGGCTTATCCAGTAGGTGAACCTGGAATAAGTCCGTTTTTTCACCCTTCTTTTGATATATCCGGATTTAAGGAGTATGACAATTTCGGAATTTGTGACAATTTAAAATATTTATAGAATAGAATAGAATAGAAATAAATTTATTAGCCTTAAACACAGTCAGATTTACATAAATAAAACAAGACAGAATAGGCCAACTAGCTCCCTGCCTCAGCTTAATACTACAGCAACACCAGGGCTGCTGCAGCGCGGATAATTCTGGCAGGGCCTAAGGTTGATGACACAGATAATAAATAAAACAACAATAATACACCAAAAGAAACAAGCATAACAATAAGTACATATCAAAGAGAAAAAAAAATGGAATGGCTGTAATTTTACAATCTTAGCCTTAAGACAAAGATTTAATAAAAAATAAAAAAGAATGACTAATCTGTGGGAGGACAGAGTAAAAAATGAACCTCCAAAAAAAATTTAACTTTATAGTTATATATATATATATATATATATTTATAACTGCAATATGATTATATCTGAATAAAATTTTATTAGAAAAAAAAAATACTTGATGTCAAGTATATTTTCTAACTTTTTTACATATCTCATATTAATTTTACCTGTTGAACGTAAATTAAAACATCAGTTCGTATTGAATCTTTGTAAACTTAGCATGGACTGGTGACAATGCATTTATTTAATAAAACATTTTCATAATCAGTTTAAAAGGAAGTACTTGTAAAAACACGCTTTTGTTGTATATCATCATCATCAACCCATGTTCGTCCACTGCTGGACATAGGTCCCCCCTAATGCACGCCACTGCTCCCGATTTTGTGCTACTCTCATCCAGCCCACTCCAGCCAGCCTACGAATATAATCATCCCATCTTGTCTCAGGGCGTCCTACACTACACTATGTTCAGTGTATATGGTTTATAGAAGTTCTGAGGGGTGGCCGTCAATAATATTCGTTTCTACAGTAATTTATATATAATTTCGAATCTAGGAAACAATTTTTCATGATTATTGGTCTTTAGGCCAAACATGTATGGAAGCTGAGCAATCTCCTTTTACTATGTTTATTAATCACAATAACTAAAGTTGAAAAACCACTCTCGCATCTGTAGGTGCTGGCAAAGGGTACTATCATTTTTAAAGCTCTGTTAGCTATAGCAGGATATTCGGCACCTGATTTTATCCAGAATGTGCTGTTATCATAAATTTTGAAATTCTGCTTTGAAAGTACTAGGTACTAGCGCGCAGTCCAAGTAATTGCAATTTGGCCGCTACATCTTCGTCATCAGGAGAAAATCTCGCCCCGCCTACCACACTCAGCACCCCGCGGTCTCTCTTGCAAGAAGGAGTGCATGCCACGTGCGTTACTGCGCGGTGTACTGTATCTTCTTATTCTTTAGATTTGACTAAATAATTTGGTTCTTTGTTACCCCCGAAGTATGGCTGATTTACCCCCGTGGGGGTAATTACCCACAGGTTCGGAACCCAGGACCTAGACTGACACATAGGATACTGTTTACTGTTAGGACCGAAAATGTTAGGTTCGTGAGGGATTTTCAAAATCTAAACTTAACACGGAGAGAAGTCGCGGGTCTATAATATTAGTTTCATACCTGCCACCTTCTAGAAAGATCCCGTTTGAGATACTGGTGATGCCGTCGTTGAGTCTCACGCCTTTCTTCCCCTTCAATTTTAGGACGATATGCTCCAACAGCATAAACGTGAAGAAGTACGGCCATGACTGAAATTACAAAGGCAAATTAATGTTAAGTGGTGAACGCATTCGGCTGCGATCGTTGAAGCTAAGCAACATTCGCAGTGGTCGGTCATTGGATGAGTGACTAAAAAAAATTACTATCTTTATCTTCTCCGTACTTCGGAAGGCACGTTAAGCCGTTGGTCCAACAACTGCTGCAACTGCAGTCGTTAGCACCACCAATCCGCATCGGACTTGGACTTGTAGGCTTATAACTCAATCCCCCAATAGGCTAGTTTACTCATGTCGAATTGTATTAAATAAATGTTTATTTCTTAAAGTATTTAGTCTAAGGAACCTTAATATATCGATTTCACTTAATAAAACCAGAAGATTGCTGTAGAAATTTAATTTTAAAAATTATTTTTAGTCTATATTTTTTAAACACTAAAAACGCTGTTCGCCACATCCGCCATGATTTTGACGTCTCTTGTGGTAAACAACTAAATGTCATTCGCGTGATACTGTAGGTGGATTCTTTCTGACTAAATTTATCTTAAAACACTTCTAACTTTAGGAAAGAAAAAAACAGTAAACTTAGTTTTTTTTTGACAAAACTAATTATGGATGCCGGCTTTGTGAAAGCAGAAAGCACAAATCTGCCAAGAATTGACGCATTGATGGTTGGTGAATTTGTTGCACTAAACCCCGATTTCTGCTCTGCGGAGCAGAGAACGGACAAGGCATCTATGTAAGTACAGTGCATTTAGTATTACAATGTAGTAATAAACATAAAACTGATACAACATATGAATAAGTGTAATAAAGTTGCGTAGGTTAATTTCTTTCGGCACTTTAATCCACAACTTTCCTGGAGTCTTCAAGGATGTGTTTTTATATTCTCGTACAATACAGTAATGATAATTACTTTATTTTTCGTGGTATTTATTAGAAATCATGATTTTTTTATTATAAACTCAGTCAAAAGTAATTTTCTACGTGTTTACGAGTTTTTGTTTACCACAGTTCACGTCATAGCATAGATAATCTATAGACTAAAATGGCCGACAGCGTTTTTGTATGCCCATGAAAAGTCTATTTCAAAATTAAAGATTTGTAGCTTTCTAGGTTTAAAAAAAATACAATACATTTTTTTTCGGTCTAATAGAACATTTATTAACCATTTAAAACCTTTTTCCAAAAAGGGTCAACTAGCCTATTCCATCCATAGGGAAGGCCTGTGCCCCAGCAGTGGGGACATTAATAGGCTGAAGATGCAAATTAGGCGTCCATTAGACGGTAGGTTATGATGTTAGGTTGTTGGTAGACAAGGTTAGGGCTTCTGGGTAACCTGTTGTCCAATGGTTCACCCTATTTCAATCGCTATCCGTTTTTAGGTTCCGTACAGGAAGGGTAAAAGCAGACACCCTATTACTAAGACTTCATTGTCCGTCTGCCTATCTATCTGTCTGTCGGTCACCAGGTTGTATCTTACGGACCGTGATAGCAAGACAGTTGAAAGTTAAAAATATAATTAATACATATTTAAGGACTTTTGAGGTTTTGAAATATATATTCACCGAATATTATTTAGTTGTATATTCGCTTTGAAACTAAATTATTAAAATAAAATAACAACTTATGGGGGTCTTACATACAACCGGCGTGATTATTTTCCTGTTATTTTGCTTGATATTATAATATAGTGCTCAATGTTGTATATGCCACCGGAATATAATCCATCCCGTAATTTTTTCAATTTCCTAGTAAATTGATCTACTTTCGTAAGATAGTTAATGACAGATAAAATGTATTATCTTAAGGGAACATTTTCGTAAATTGATCAATTTACGACGTCTCGCGGTAATTGATAAACTAACTTAAAATTTCAAGACCTATCAACGTAAAATTCTAAGTACTGTGACCAATCCCAGAACAGAGTTTAATTTTACGTCATTTAAATGAACGTAAAATAATACATAGCTTAATAATAGTTAACCAACTTTCGCAGTGGTCGGCCATAGGATGGGTGATCAAAAATTTACTATCTCGAGTTCCTCCGAGCTTCGGAAGGCATGTTAAGCCGTTGGTCCCGGCTGCATCTGCAGTCGTTAGCACCCACCAATCCGCACTGGGCCAGCATGGTGGGTCATGGCCCAATCTCTCTATTCCATTCCATTCCATTCCAGGGAAGGCCTGTGCCCCAGCAGTGGGGATATTAATAGGCTGATGATGATGAATACACAGCTTTCTGATTGGTCGCCGTTTGCGACTTCGGTGCTTGCCGCCATAGACTTAGGTACGATCAGACTGTAAAAGTGTCCATAAGGCTAAACTGTAGTTCCAGGGCTCAAGTGGTGATACATTACACTAGGTCCTAACCTAGTTAGGCTAGTGTTGTGACAAAACACGCGAGCCGAGCGAGCAAAGCGAGCGTGCCGCGGCAGCGGACAGCAAAGCGCCAGAAAAAAAACTCTGTTAAAACAGACTTTTCTACAAAAAAAAACAATTATCACCTCTTGGGCCCTGGAAGTATAGTTATACCCTATAATACCTTGCCGATTGCAGATGCAGCCGGGACCAACGGCTTAACGTGCCTTCCGAAGCACGGAGGAGTTCGAGATAGTAAATTTTTGGTCACGCATCAATGACCGACCACTGCGAAAATTGCTTAACTTCAACGATCGCAGCCGAACGCGCTAACCACTTACGCCATCGAGCTCCTCAGCTCCTCCTCTAGCAGTTAATTGCGTAATAATAAAAACATAAGTATAATTGCTATTTCTTCCTTAAAATGTTTAATACTTGCAAAGGTATTCATTTGATATTACGGTCACCAACAATGCGAAAAGATGGCGTTGCCTTGCAGACTAAGAAATGCTAGAGTAAATTCGACACGGACAATTAGGACCACTGTAGCATAATAGTGAGTGCATTCGCCCGGATAGCGAAGGGTGCGGTTCGAGTCCCGTCTGTTACCTTGACCGCGTGGAAGTTTTTCTAGTAAAATTTTCTTTAGATTTATCACAGGATTGTCAACTAGGTTACATACTAGGTATAATGTAGGTTTTTCAGTGAACCTTTATTATAGAAGCGTAGACAGGGCATTTCTAAATGATGTCGTAAGTCCCTTTGCGGTGTTGACTGAGCATCTAATGGTGTGAAAACATGAGATATAATTCTACTCTCATAACTACATCGTAAATAGGTATTACACGTTTTCTGTCTGCGAACGTAGGAAATAAGCTTCTTTCACAACGGCCGGCCATGGGATGGGTTACCTAAACTTTACTAACGCACTGTCAAAGCTAAATATAGTGTAATTTTATTTTTTTGTAGGGACACAGTATATTCTGTTGAATTTGCGTAATTCTATATCATACATCATGCCTATACTATACCAAATGTATTGCGTATTATATGTGTGTCGGCAGCTACGCCCGCTAAATTTATGATTTAACTAGTGGCCCGCCCTCGCTTCGCTTCGGGGTAGTCATAACATCTACCTGCATGCCAAAGGAAATTGCTCAAATTGGCCCAAACGCACAAAAAATATTGACATACGCGGTAATTCTTGGCGTTATTTATAATTTAATTTACAGTCATTAGATTTCAACGGACACCTTTGTATAATATATTTACTTTAAAAAGGACTTTTAATTTTACCGGTTTGGAAAACACACGAATCATTCAGCCAAAGACTGATCGAAGTTGTTTATATAACATAAAAACAAATCTATTTTATAAAGATCGATAAAAAAAAAATTTTTTGTTATTACAATATGGTATTAATATCTACAACTATATTATCATTTTCACTACATGCAAATGTGCTCAAACAATTATTATAGATGGTAGGCAACAGCATAGAGTCTATTGCCATACATTTTTCGCCAAACACCTCCATAAACACATTATAATCTGTATATATGTTCTAACATAGATACCTTAAAGTCTACTTTAAGGTATCTATCTATGGGCCTACGTTGCCTGACTATAAATAAATAAAATTATAAGGTGTAATACACTAAAAATCTAAAATATGGTTATATTAAAAACATAACAAAAATAATGAAGCTACTGAATACATGACTATATAACCTAAATCTCTTAGCTTTCTTTGGTTAACGAAAGTTTAAAAATTCTCTCTAATCTGTGGCTCATTCACAATCATCACACAGTTTCGGTCACAGAGTACCTTATTATAACCAGAAATGCATAGATGACACCTGATTTTATAAGTTACTCTTATGCATTAACTTTAAAGACAGGCAACTATCTATTTATCTACATGCTCTATATACCTGAATCTAATCCATAATTTCGGTACTTGGCTTGATTTCTCTAGTTTACTATATAACTTGTTTGTTTTTCATTATTTTAATATGTTCAGTGTATATGGTTTATAGAAGTTCTCAGGGGTGTCCGTCAATAATATTCGTTTCTACAGTAATTTATATATAATTTCGAAACTAGGAAACAATTTTTCATGATTATTGGTCTTTAGGCCAAACATGTATGGAAGTTGAGCAATCTCCTTTCAGCCCGATCCGTCCAGTGGTTTGGGCTGTGCGTTGATAGATCACTATGTCAGTCAGTCACCTTTGAGTTTTATATATGTAGATTTCAGTCGCTATAGTGCTATTGAACTTTATTGTGTTATCTTATTTTCCATATCTTTTTGAATACGAACTTTTAGTAATACAATAATATAAACCGTATATTTTTACTTATTTTATGGTGACCTGACCTGTGACGTAACACCATCAAGTTTGGGCTCGTTTGATTCGTCTTGACGAGAACTTTGTCTGTAGATGATATCAAGGGTCTGATGACAGAGGTAGAAAGTGGCCATAAGAACTCTGTTTTGAAATGACGCAACACTATCAAGTTTGGGCTCGTTTGATTCGTCTTGACGAGCAGTTTCTTTTAAGATGATATCAAGGGTCTGATGACAGAGGTAGAAAGTGGCCATAGGAACTCTGTTATGAAAGGACGCAACACCATCAAGTTTGGGTTCATTTGATTCGTCTTGACGAGCACTTTATCTCTAGATGATAACAAGGGTCTAATGATGGAGCTAGAAGGTGGCCATAGGAACTTTGTAATGAAACGACGCAACACTATCAAGTTTGGGCTCGTATGGTTCGTCTTGAAGAGCACTTTTGTCTCAAGATGATATCAAGGGTCTGATGATGGAGCTAGAAGGTGGCCATAGGAACTCTGTAATGAACGACGCAACATCATCAAGTTTGGGCTCGTATGATTCGTCTTGACGAGCACTTTATCGCTAGATGATATCAAGGGTCTGATGATGGAGCTAGAAGGTGGCCATAGGAACTCTGTAATGAACGACGCAACACCATCAAGTTTGGGCTCATTTGATTCATCTTGACGAGCACTTTATCTATAGATGATATCAAGGGTCTGATGACGGGGCAAGAAGGTGGCCATAGGAACTTTGTATTAAAAAGAAGCAGCATTATCAAATTTGGGTTCGTTTGATTTGTCTTGAAGAGCACTTTATCTCTAGATGATATCAAGGGTCTGATGATGGAGCTAGAAGGTGGCCATAGGAACTTTGTAATGAAACGACGCAACACCATCAAGTTTGGGCTCGTATGATTCGTCTTGACGAGCACTTTATCTCTAGATGATATCAAGGGTCTGATGACGTAGCTAGAAGGTGGCCATAGGAACTTTGTAATAAAAAGACGCAACACTATCAAGTTTGGGCTCGTTTGATTCGTCTTGACGAGCACTTTATCTCTAGACGATATCAAGGGTCTGATGACGGGGCAAGAAGGTGGCCATAGGAACTTTGTATTAAAAAGAAGCAGCACTATCAAATTTGGGTTCGTTTGATTCGTCTTGAAGAGCACTTTATCTCTAGATGATATCAAGGGTCTTATGATGGAGCTAGAAGGTGGCCATAGGAACTCTGTAATGAACGACGCAACACCATCAAGTTTGGGCTCGTTTGATTTGTCTTGATGGGTACTTTCTACTACTGGTGCTAATTCTAGTCCTCTCCATCGAAAGGTTGTCTGGAAGAGATCGCTCTCAGCGATAAGGCCATTGTTACACTAGTTTTAAATGGTTATATACTAAATGTTATGTTATCTGTGGTGTACAATAAAGTGTTTTGTATTGTATTGTACTTTATTTTTAGATGGTATCCGGGGTGATGATGGAGCTAGAAGGTGGCCATAGGATTTTGGAGACTCGATCGAGTTTGGACTCGTTTGGTTATCCTTGATGGGTACTTTGGTTCTAGATAATACCAAGATGCAACTCCATTATATTTGGACCTCAAGTGGAATAGACCGTTTGTGTCAGGCGTTTGTGTGAAAAAAATTATTAAAAAGACACACACAAAGAAAACGACGTTCATGATATTGAGGTTTCTACTATTTTATTTCTAAACTGAAAAAAAAATCTAAACTGAATAGTTTGCGCTGTTAGTTTGGTTTGAACGAGATCTAGTAAGTAGTTTTTTTAATACGGCATAAATCGTAAACCGCAATTTACCTTTCATTCACTCAACTAAAAATATAAAAATATTAAAATAAAAAATAAAACTTTGATAACTCAATAAAAAAACATCACTATTATTAAAATGTCGATCAAAGTTACAACGAACTATGAGAACATATATATATATATATATATATATATATATATATATATTATGTTATTTGCTGCTACGGCACCCTTCATGGGCAAGTCCGACTCGCACTTGGCCGTTTTTTTTTAATAAAACCGTGTTACATTTTGTCTAGAAATTCACAAGAGAATACGTCCATTTACAAGACAAATAAATAAGGGTGTAACGGGCTTTTATCAAAAAATAATGGATATAATCTACAAAATGGTATATTTCTTTTTTTTTTAATTAATATGCTCCCGGCATTATAGGATAGGAGGTATGATAATTGTAGGTAATTAAAGCAATTTTAACTTCATGTTTCTCTCCCTCTCTTTTTTCCATACATTTAAACGAAGAGTCAAAAGCTGACTTTCAAGCGAAGAACTCTAACCTAGTGAGTACTATAAAAATACAGTTAACACGATCGCAGGCTGAACACGCAAACCACCTGCGCGGAAGTTAAGTAATTTTCGCAATAGTCGGTCATTGGATGGGTGACCAAAACTTATTACGTGAAGCTCCTCTGTGCTTCCGAAGGCACGGTAAGCCGTTTGGTCTCGGCTGCATCTGCAGTCGTTAGCACCCACGAATTAGCATAGCCCGCGAGGTAGGTCATGCCTCAATCTCCCTGCCCTGTGCCCCAGCCCCCACTATGATAATGAAAGTAAGCCCAGAAAAAAGGGGCTTTATTTAATGATGAAGAATTCCGTTGTCACATAAAATCCAAAAACCTTTAAAATTATTATTTCCAAAGAAATTTTTACTAGGAAAAATTCCACGCCCACCAGGAGGCAGACGGGACTCGAACCCGCACCCTTCGCTATCCGGACATTGTGGGTAATCTACAATGCGAAGAGATGGCGCTGCCTTGCAGCCTCAGTCTAGAGAAAATTCGACACGACTGATGCTCATCAGGGCTGCGGTAGCATAATGGTCTGTGTATTCGCCCGGATAACGAAAGGTGCGGGTTCGAGTCCCGCCTGCTGCTTGGACCGCGTTGAATTTTCTTTACATTTAAACAATTACCATTTAAATGCTGAAAAAATTTAAAACATAACTATTTATTATTCCGTTATAATGGCAAAAAAGAAATCTTGTTACCTGCACATATAAGTTGGGTACATCATCGACGTTTTCATACAGATTTTCCTTGGGGTTTATGAGATAGAACATCCGACCCGCGCCCTTCACAACACCCCCGAGGGTAGGTATACTCTCCATATTATCATAGCAGCCGGATACATTCATTTTCACTACTTCATTCACTCGAAAGTTTTACTGATAAGATTACTCCAAAACAATTTTATTCAACAGAACTTTCGTAAGAACCTTTTTAGAGTTAGTTAAAGTTTAAAATTAAAAACACCGTTTTAATTTTTGTTCACTTCCTCATTCATTGTCAGCGGCTTATGGTGTACTAAACCATTTATAAATATATGTAGCATTTTATACGGATTTCACAACCTGTGAAATTTCAATGTTATTTTTTCGATAATGGCTAATCGTTATTTAGACGTTTTATTAGCGATCTCGTTAAAATAAAATTATGGCTCTCCAGTACTTAGCCAACTTTGATTAAGTATATTTGTCAATGTTTCAGTGTCTTGTGCAAGATTATATTATTAATTGATATAATGTCACATTTGAGAACATACATCAAAGGTTATTACTGCGGTTGTAGATAATTGTTTTTTTATCTCTTCTTTGAGCAAATGCCGTTTTTTATTCTTTTTCATCTTAATAGTACGATTAATACTATGCCATTTTTTACTGACTACGAAAGGAGAAGGTTCTAATATTCATCGTGTTTGTAAGTTTTTTTTTTGTAATAATTATGTTTCATCAAATTTCTCTTCCCAAAAACTTATCACCCTTGTTTCATTTCCCAAAATGAATATTTAATGAATTTACTTTTCGAATTTTATTCACTTAGTCAAATTAGCATTTGGCTACATTTTATTTTATCAAGCTTTACATACACAAATGTTTATTATGCAAACGGAAATATTTTTTTAAGCAAATATTGTTTCAAAAAAATTTGTTCAAATAGTCACTTCACACACTCAACTTATAGCGTACGTTTAACAAATGATATTTCATTTTTACTGATATTGGATTACAGGTGTATGCAAAAATCCTAATTATAATAATAACAATTGCAGAAATATAAACTGATTGTGCTGAATATTATAGGAAGAGTAGGATATTTAAAACAAACGATAAGTTTGGCTTGGTAACATGAACCATCACCTATTATTATTATTAATTAAACAATTACGAGTTTTGCTGACTGAATAATTGCGATAAGTTGTTTTGGCAATCGTTTTATTTTCAATTGAAAATTTGCGTGAATTTTCTACACAGATTTAGGAAAAGTGTTTTGCATAAAATAATAACTTAATTATATTAATTATTTATCCGTTCACAATATCACTGTTCACTCGCGACTGTTCTCGACACACAACACACACAGTATCTGATCACGAAACGACACTTTTTCAATTGCTATGGATTTCGCACAATACGAATCACTGGATTACAGACACGTAGCTCAGAGACACAATATCGGAGACTCTTAAAGAAACGACTCAGTACTGCTGGTAATAATTAATGCTTTTTTTTATAATGTTAGTGATCGTGAACGTTTAAAAAAGTTTAAATTCAAAGTTGCAAAAAAAGAAAGTTATATAAAACAATATATTGTTTTAAACATTATAGCTATTATCAAACAAGGTATGTACATGGTAACAATCCCGTTAATAGCTATAATATATAAAACAAAATTTTAGAACGGGTTAGATGTACTGAATTTATGTTTTTTATTTATTTATTTTTAGGCATTTAACTGCTAGATGTTTTAAATCTAAAGAAAAGTTTACTAGAAAAAAATCCACGCGGACCAGGCAGCGGACGGGACTCGAACTTGCACCCTTCGCAATCCGGGCGAATGCACTGACCATTATGCTACCACGGCCCTATTAGCCGCATCGAAATTTTCCTAGTCTTAAGCTGCACGGCAGCGCCATCTTTTCGCATTGTAGGTAGCCCACAATGTCAATATCAATGTACTGAATTTATTTATTTATTGACGTTTCGCATCCTTTGCTACATCAAGTAGAGAGAAATTCAGTACATCTAACCCGTTAAAAGCTTGTTTTATTTAATGAGTGATGTGCGTGAAAACCTAATAAACAAATAAGAAAGTTATATGTTCTACATCGCCGTGAACTGAGGAGCCGCACCATCTTAAATTTTATTTTCCGTTCATCAACATATCGCACGTCACAAACAATACGGTATTAAGTCGGCAAAACCATATATTTTTTTTTATTTGCGTTTCGAAAACTACATATTTTTCTCTATAAACTGGTAAGATAATTGTATTTGAATTCGAAATAGTTTTTGAATTATAGCAATATATGTCGTCAATTTCTAGGCAAAATTTATGATTGTGAGTTTTCTAAACAGTATTATGTTAAGTTAATACCCTATTGCCCGTTCGGATTAATACAAGTTTGAAGTTTTATTTAAAATAATACCCTCTGGTCTGTTTAATTTTATTTAATATGTTATTTCCAGCGAAATTATTTTAATTGGATATTAGTTGTAATTTTAACATGAGCCATTTGAACTGCTTATAGGGTATTCTCTTTACCCTGTCACATAAAAGTACATATAAAATAAAAACTACTATTGATACACTAACTAAACTTACTCAACACAAAGAAGGATAATGTAAGTTTAAATCAAGGTATAATTTTAAACATTTGAACAAGTAGTTCCGCTTCTATGATTTTTTAAATCTTCAAAACGCGATATCACAAAACACTGTTTTTTTAGATAATACCCTTTTGTTTGTGACATGCAAGAAAAGTTTACGTTATCTTATAAACTTTTCTTGTACTTGTTATATACAATCATTGGCACACACAATTAAATAAAATAAAAAATATCATTCAAATAAACGAAAATGTGGGCTACAAATTAATAATTGTTAATATGATAATCAGGTCACCTCTTGCCCTCAGAGCATGACAATCATGATAGTAAATGCCGTGATCGAGGGCAGAAGGCGACTTGATGAAAAAAAAGTCATGTAACCGATTAAGAAATTGGTTAATTTAAACGTTATTTCTTATTTTCAACTCCAGACGGAAATTTGAGGGGTTTTGTTACTTTAGCGTGTCTGTCGTCTTGGACGCGGTTTTTTATTAAGCTGACATGATTTATATGTTACTTAACTATATTTTTTGAAGATACTTTACATATCTAAAGAAAATATTACTAGAAAAAAAAACAACGGGTTGTACTCCGGGAGTGCCGGAAAAAGTGGAAACTTGAATATTAACGTTGTGCATTTTTGATATTTTGGAATGGTTAGAGAAAAATTTTGCACGATTGCTTGAATTATGAGTATAAAAGTACTTTCATTTATGTGGTAGAATACAAGATTTATTTATTGCGCTATCGTACACAAACATGACAATTTATATTACATTAAAAAGTTTATCTCTCAGAATTTCTAATTTAAGCGCACCTAGCGACATCTATTGGAAAAAAATGCATTTTCTTCGCAATAAAGCTGCCACCTGGACGTCCTAGATACAGACTTATTATTATAATACGATAAAATATAAAAAATACTATGATTCGTCCAATATATTGAAAGTCAACAACCTTTCCAATTTTATTGTTTTCGTCTTACGAATTTTCGATTGTCAGGTGTCCGGATGCGATCAGGCCACGTGTCATGACGAGAGTTTAACATTTTTACCCATACAAAAAAAGTGTACAACGCCGCTAAAGAAGTTTTCACTTCAAAAATCCACGCGGACCAGGCAGAAGACGAGACTCGGCTGCAAGGCAGTATAATGGTCAGTGCATTCGCCCGGATAGCAAATGGTGCGAGATCGAATCCCGTCTGCTGTCTTGTCCGCGCGGAATTTTTCTGGTAAAATTTTCTTTACATTTGAACATCTAGCAGTTAAATGTCTTAAAAATAATATAACTTCTTTATATTATGTTATCATTATTATTATTTTCAAGCATTTAACTGCTAGTTGTTTAAATCTAAAGAACAGTTTACTAGTTGATCCGCGTGGATTTTTTTCTAGTTAAATTTACTTTTTATATGTTATATACAGGGTATATACAGGGTGGTCCAACTAGTCACGTCAACAATTTTTTTTAGATTCCTCGCACCTGGGAGTATCCGAAAATACCCCATATATTTTCCGCGATCTTCTTTCGTAGTAGGTATTTTGCAGTCTTTTTTGTGACATAATTGTCCTGAATGTTGTTTTATTAAAAAAATAACTCAACTTCTTGCAATTACTTAAAGTTACTCAAAAAAGGTTTAGGATTTACTCAAACGTTCAACTTCAATTTAAAGGTTTTAGAGGCGTTTGAAGTTGTGCATATTATCTTTTTTTCCGTAAACTAGCTGCAGTAGCATGATCAGTACAAAAAAAGGAAAATGTTAAAAATGGTATTTGCAAGTATTCTACATTAACTTACAATAGGAAGAATAAATCTACTGTTTACTTCTATTGGAAATAGTCAAAATCTTTTTTGAGGGATAAACGAAGCGCTCGAAAATTACGTTTTTTTGCAAAAAATGTGAAAGGGCTCTTAAAGAAATATGACCTTATGACCCTTTAAAGTTACATATCTATTATTTGGTGTACTTTTATCTAGTTGGAATTTCCACGACATTGAACTTCTCAGGTACTTAGTACGAGTTAGTGTTGCCCAAATTCAGTGTTGGTCTTGTTCTTGCATTTTTGCAAGACCAAGACCAAGAACAAGACCGCGTATTTTTAGCAAGACCAAGACCAAGACTGACCGTGCAAGACTTGAGGAAGAACAAGACTAATCCGGCAAGATTCTTGCGTCTTGCAGCTAGGACTTAGCGCTATTTCACGGAGTAGTTAGGTATAACAGTTCGGTGTATAGGTACGCTTAGGAATTCTATGAGACGCAAAAAACTGTATCAAAGAATATGAAAAACTGGACCTATGCGCATTACGACCAATACCATAAACATACATAGCGAATAAAAAAATATCCATTAAAATAAAACAGAGTGCATGCATAGTTTTGTTTTAACCATCGGCACTTTGATAATGCGGCATCAAAGGTTTTGTACTGACTTCTCAAAGAAATTTGCCGCTTTTCGGAAGTACGCGTGTATCATCAACGCGCCGGCGCGGCTTCTATTGAAATCACATACAACAATCGTTGCCGCCGCGCCGAAATCACAACATTTGACAGTATTGGATAGCCGCCACAGGGCCTAGGTATACTCATGCAAAATTCTAATTTCGTGTCGTGCCGTCCCACTCACGCTAATACTATTTAATATATGAGTGAGCGAGACGGTACGACACGAACTTCGATTTACGAATTTTAGAGGTGATCCAAAGAATAAATAAGTGTCAGAGTGCTTAGAATGGAAACGAATACATTATGGTAGTAGATGTCATAATAATTTATTCTAGTAAGTATATATTATAATATTGATAGGATTATGATTGGTCTTTCTATAGCTATATTAATTCAAGCTCACAATGTTCCAATTCTAATACGTTTTTCTAAGATCTAAAGTAAACTTTAATAAATAGCAATAGTCTAATAGGTAATTCCAAGACTTGCCAAGTCTCGTCTTGTTCTTGCATTTGGGCCATGCCATTCCTTACCCCGGTCAATCACATCCGCACGAATGCGCGAACCCGCATGTGTGGGATGGCATTTGCGAATGCTTTCGTGAAGTATTCACTACATTCGGGCTTTTCCAAGTCATGTGGGTTGCAAAGTGCGCGAATATTCGCATCTACTCGAAGACAACTAGTTTCCTACACATTCGCGCACCCGGTTGCCAAGGCAACGTTTGGGCGTTTTTTAAAGTTTTTTTTTGTGTTTTTTGTCGAAGTAGACAACGTTAAATAATATTATATTGGTAGTTGATGACTGATGTCTTCCATTACAAAAATATTGCAAAGATGACTTTTAAAACTTGTGAACAAGTATTATGCTACGGATTAGACAATCAGACAGTGGTATAGTGGTATCGATTCTGGCATGATTCTCTAAACTTAAAACTAAATTAAACATCAGTCCCTCGTTTTTATTTTGTATAGAGAATGACAAGGATGCACTGTTGTCTAGCGATGGGCGTTGAATTAACGAACGGTTTAAATAGACGGTCTACGTTCAATCGACGCTTCGACGGTCTACAGTTAATTCGTTAGCTAGTTGAATTCATAGACGGCTAAACTGAGAGTCCACAGCGTTCATATCTACTGACAAAGCGTCGACGACGCGTAAACGTATCTGGTTTACCCGTTACAAGTCCATACGTTCGTTCATTCGTTGAAATAAAGCAATTTGAAACTTAAGTATATGGAGTGGGAGTTGATTTTTGTTCATTTTTTAAAGTAGAGTTGTTAAAGTGAAAAGGTAAGAGTATTTTTATATTGCGTGAAAGAGTACGTCGATGGATCTGGCTAAACGATGCAGTGCAGGAT